TTTGTTAAGCTTCACTGCATTTGCCGAGTGCTTTAATGCAATGAAAGAGGGTGGTGGCGGTATATACCGCACCGTGCTACTTGCACTTGCATAGTCGGATGCGTGTGCATATATTGCATATATATATACACGTCTTCAGGCCCTTTGCTGTGCACGTTAGTTGTAATGAGTGCTTTTTTTAGCATTTTTTTCTGTTTTTTTTTTTATTTTTTTTTTTTTTGGTCGCAATTTCAATTTTCATTTTCTGCCCCCGGTATTGTGTCGCCCGTGTGGCATTTTGGTTTCTTTTTTAAATTTTTTTTTTTTCCCCTCATTTCCAGATTTTATGCAAATTAATCTTTTATGCCATTGCGTTTATATCACTCCACCTATTTATTTCTTTTTCGGTTTAATTTATGTTTCAGTTTATTTTCATGATTAAAATCTTTTTCTTTTCGCTTAAAAAAAACTTTTGTATAATATAAAGAAGATAAATAAAATAATAATAATAAAACAAAAAAAAAAAGTCTGCACTCATATCGCCTGAATTGCAAGGTATAACGCGCTACACTGGCTTTTGCTATTATCGTTGCTGGTCTATACGGTAGCAATTATTTAGAAAAATGCAAACATTACAGCAGCATTTGCAATGCAAATATCTTAGATTTATTAATTGAGATATTACCTCCGTCTGTCTGTGTGCATTTGTTTTTTTTTTTCTTTTTCTTCTTTAAAAATTCTATTTTTTCTTTATATGTATCTTATTTTTGCCACATTTACTTTTGAAAGTGAAAATGCGCTATAAAATCAAATAAAAAAAATAAAAAAAAAAAAGTTGCTGTTGCTGCTGTTTTTATGCTTGAAATAATGTCTTTGTTTTTACGGATGCGCGCACGATCTAAATAAGTGGGTGATTTGATTGTGCAAGACTTACATGAACGGATGGACTGCGGGATTGAATAAGTTATTGCCAGTTTTATTTTCCGGTTTGACTTGTTTCTCGTTTTTATGGCCGACAAATGTAGTTTAGTTTCACAAAAACCTCTTAATGATCAAGATGGCGAAAAATTGACTCTATTGTATTTCATAGATTCTCCCGACAACAACATGACATTTAATTATCGCAATCAACAACAAAGACTACGTCTTACTTCTTATCATTTGATCATCATAAGAAATGTATTAATAAAACATATGATATTCTAGCGACACCACATTATCACACACCAAAATGTTTATCAATCGTAATTGTTGCATTATCTCATATCAAATAATATATTTTTATATTATTATTAGAGTCATCTAACATGAACGCTTACGCTATAGGCAGATGGATTTAACAGAATACTCCGAAGTCTTCTGCACTCACTTGTTCACTTATGGGTCTTATAAGAATGAATTATGATAGTTATGCTCATATTGTTGTCATTACGTCATATTATCGGGATTGAAAGAAAAGACAATTTATTTAAAAAATGACTGATTGTTGAGCGTAGTTTTCGCCATCATTCTGACCAAATATGAATTTTCCAAAAGAGAAAAACACGACTTCGTAAAACAAAAAACACTACATTGTTTTAAAATATATTGGAAATATATTTTCACTTCAAAGCTTAAGCGAACTGTATTAAGAAAAGCGCTCCATTACTTGCAAAGGTGTTTCGAGCACTTCTTTAGAGAGACTATCAGATCAATTGCTTTGCAAAATTTAATTTAACCCCATTTTTGTAAAAATTATGCCAATTTTTATACCCTACCCCCGTCTGTGATACAAGAGTGTATTAAGTTTGTGTGAGTGTATTCAATGTCCAGAAGACTTTCAGATAATTTGTCATCGCATTCTATATTACGGTGACTTTCTTCTACGTAAATATTGTTATCGACATAGAGACCATTTTATTGGTAATCTGGTTACAAAGGGCATATGACCGCAAGCCATTTTTCAGTCGTCACTAGTAAGCTTTCCATTATTTCTTTTCGCCAACTTTTTATTATTAATTATTATTACTTATTATTTGTAATTTATTATTACTATTCGCGTAAACCGTTCGTAATCTATTATAATTTATTTATTTCAATATTTTATTATTATTCATTTTGTTATTTATCATTATTTACTATCATTACTTATGATTACTTATTACTTTTTATCCGCCTGAGTGGCCGAGTAGTAACTCAATGGTCTTGGGTTCAAATCTCAAGTGCGGTAGAGTTTTTAATAAAAGCTGAAAGCCTTAGATGCCAATGCTTTAAGACTTTAGTCTTAGAATTTATTCTCTGGCTAAATTTATAATAATAATAATAATACTTATTACTTAGCATTAATTATTATTATTTGTTACTTAATATTGTTCATTACATATTATTACTTGCCGTTACCTATCTCTTTATCATTATTTAAATGGATCAAAGTAACTCATAAATTAGTCCTGGTAGAGGAAAACATATATATATTAAGGTATATATAAAATTTAAAAAATATTCTTTCTTTACTTGTTTTGTAAACATTTGTTTTTTCTCTTACATCTCCGCGAATGCGGGAACGGGAGAAATGAGATTTTGTGAGAATTTTGATTAAATTTTTTGATTAATTTTTTCATCGACATGTATATACAATAATGAAACAAACACATACCTTTTAGTTTCTTTTTCGAAAAATTGTTTTGTGATTATCTTGGGTTAGAATGTATTGCCAAACCCAAGGGGTCCTATATATGCATGCTTTTGCTTTACGGTCACATTGTTCCATATGTCGAAATGTTATGCCAAATCAACGAGCTATCGGCATAAAAAATTCCGAATTTATAGCCATGAGTATCCTATATATAAGTATTCGAGTATTTCTTTAACTAGTATTTGTGGTAAGCTTCTAAAAATAATGAATAAATCCTTCTTTTGTCATATAATCCTTTTTTTTTCGTTTCACTTCATTACTATAATCATATCATAGGTTTTTTTTTTTTTTTTTTTTTTTTTTTTTTTTTTTTTTTCTCTCAATGTTCTTTAAATTTTCAAATTCCCTCCTTAACCGAATCTATCTTTTTGTTTGTAATGTAACTTTATTTTATAATCGTTTTATTAAAGACCACAATTGCAGTACAAATTAAGACTGTACTTACGTGTTACAAAAAAGTTTTCAATTCCCAGGATAATTTTTGGAAACATTAGTAAACAAAAGAGACAGACTGACTCGGGCAGATGTAGTCAAAACCTAAGCATTTGAAATTTTTCCAATACATATATATATTTCTCGGTATTATTAAACAGAATAACATTATTATTGCAATTACAAAGCTTTCTTGTGGTGACTTTTATAATAATGTGTTTTTTTGTATGTAAACTTTCTAAATTTTCATATATATATATATATATATATATATATGCTTCATATACTTGACATTACTACAGCACATGCATTTGCTATTTACTGTTATCCCACAACTAACAAGAGCAACTAAACTAACTAACAAATTTATTTATCAAATGTTTAGTGTGGGAGTATTATAAGTAAATACTTATAAATAAATGCATACATACTTACATTCGAGGAGTAGAGTAGTAGTAGAAAGAAGCATGTGTACACTCATCTCGGCATTGCAGCGTCAGCAGCAGCAGCAGCAGCAGCAGCATCATGGCAACCTACATTCATTTATTTTATAATATACAGCAATGAACTTTCTTTTGAAAATGTATTCCTGCACACATATATATCCCATTTACCTTTACCTTCGGTCTCTGACTCTTTCTCGATGTGCTATATATTTATATATATATATATATATATATATATATATATGTATATAATTTTGTATACATATATTTACTTGTATTAATACCTTTTATAGACTTATGGTATGAGTTTCACTTTGGGTTTTATAATCTTCCGCTATTGTGTACAGTATTGAAAAATCAATAAATATACGATTTCCATAAGTCGGTTTTTTCCTTGTCTTCCCTTTTCTTTTTCTTTTTTCTCCTTTTTTTCTTCCTTTTTTTTTTTTTTCTTCTTCTATATATATATATATATATATATAGATAAAAGCATGTTTTCTGTTGTTAAATTTTTATAGTGTCTTACATAAGGTGAGACATATATGAAACTTTTAAATAAATCTACATGAATATCCGCGCATATAGCGCACATATTCACACATTCAACATCATGTTCATCAAGATCATGACGATGATGCGAAAGTATAGAAACAAATGTTTACCTGCGCCAGTTGACGTCTCTTTCTCTGATACTTTCTGAAAAGTGCATTTTTGTTACTTAACTAAAGTTGTTTTATTATTGTTACTGTTGCCGAGCATAGAGATGTGAGGGCGTTTAACTCGTTTTTGGTTATTTACTTATTTTATTTTTCCAATGCGAATCGCAAAGGAAAAACATTTGAGAAAAACTCTTGCAGTTTTTTCTCATACACCTTTTGTCATGATGACGATGACGATGATGGAAACAAATTGCATTTGTTTCTTTAGTTTTTGTAGTTGTGTCTCTCTCTCTTTATTTTTTTTCCTTTCTTTTTGACTAACATGTCATTGTTGTATCAAGTTTTACGTAGGATTTTAGTTGTTTGCAGGAAGAGAGAAGAGAGTATATGTGCAGAGGCAAAAAAAAAAAAAAACAAAAAAAAAAACAAAAAAAAACTAAAAATGAAAAATAAAAAAAAAAAAAAAGATATTTAAAAGAGTATTAATGGTAGATTTAAATTTTCTGATTTGTGTTACTTTGTCTTATATTTTATCTATACGTCTATCTATTCAACGTCTGAACGTTTTGCAAAGTTTACGTTTGTCTTGTTTGCTATTTACTGTAAGTTTCTAAGTATTTTCGTTGATAACGGTTTAGATGAGTGCGTTTGGGTGTTTATCCTAAAAGAATTGACGTACACAGATAGATTATTTTTAATGTTAAACTTTTGTAATCATTTTTAGAGAAAATTCCTCTTCTAAGATATAGAAAATTCCAGATAATACCTTTTAATGCCACCGACAATAAAAAGAAGTTTTCTACAAAAATTTTTTTTTTTTTTTGGAAGCAAGTTATATATATATATATACATACATATATGTACAACAAATAGTTAGGACATAGCCGCATCCTCTAATAAGAGTTAAACTTTTTGAAAATTAAATTTAAATTTACATACGTGCATAACCCAACGACAATAAGCTGACTTATGTTAGAGGTTCGCAGTCTGAATCAATCTAAACTCATTTTGCAGCCCATTGATTACACAAATCAATTACATCAACGACCGTAGAGTTATTAATTCCGATTTCAAGATCTAGAAGAACAAATTGATTATGAGATTCCGCGTTGTTTTAGCTCATTCGTTCATAAGCTGGGACAGGAAGTTGAAAAATAGCTTTATCTACCTCTAATGGACTTCCTATTATTGGGCTTGCAAATGCGTATGAGTTGTTCAGAAGAATGTCCTCATGTTCCGAAAACATGCTGACAACTCAACAACAATTGTACCATTTCGTAGACGTTTACCTTAGACAGTAAATGGTCAAACTTTTTATTCGAGGTTTTATTTCCTTTCAACATAGTTATACAGGGATATGGTTCTCCCTATTTTTTGGTGAAATTTCAACAGAGTTATTGACATAATTGGTAAGATATTGGAGATGAAAAGGTTTTAAGAAATTGTTGAAGTCTCCTGTAATGCTTGTATATACTAAGATATCCTTTTTTAAATATAACTTGACCCATAATTCAGGAGATGTGTACTAGAACTATAGCGCTGTGATGGTTATAAAGTAGCAAGGAAAAATAGTACTAGTAGGATGTACGCCCAACCGACTGCGAACTCGCTATAGCTACGGCCAAGGGTCGTCCACAGCCCTGAAATTTAAACTGGAATTAAATTCAATGTTAATAATTAATAACCTTGATCTCGTTTTCAAAAATTAGTTTTTATTTTAACTGACCGATCATAATTTGCTGAACTCTCACCGACCCAGAACATTTTTTAGGCGAAAGAAAAATACTTCTCTTGAAAAATCGAAGATAGCCACTATTCCCTCTCATCTTCTGATAACATTGTTCTTGATATGTTGTCCGTGTTGCCATTCACTTAAGAATGAATAAAGAATAGTGCATTATAAGAGAAAGAAAAAAAAAAAAAAAGAAAAGAGAAGACATGTACTTTAAAGCACACATCGTTGTATAGTAAAATACGCAGCCTTGTACAGTATATCTCTAGGTTGCATAATACCATTTCCAATGGTTTATACGAAGGCCTTTCTCTTCTTTTTATCCAGTCAGACAATGTTGAGTAGAAAAATTTTTCTTCTAAATAAAGCAAGCGTTTTTTTTTTTTTCATTCAGAAGATTTATGGCAAAACTCTTGGGCGGTACCTGGAATCACATCATTAGTTGCTTGAGCGGCTCACGAAATTTATGAGAAACTCACTACGGCTTGCAATTGATTATTTCGAACCTCTCTGAGTAAGTTGACCATCAACAACATTTTGTTGTACTCTTAAGGGTATGACAAGTCCTATAGAGTTATTTTCATCAATGTTTGTCAAAATGTCCTCAAATTACGGTAACTTGATAATAAGAGCTTTCTCTTCTGGGCGAGTGCTATTAACGTGCAACTTTTAGATTTTCCGTTGCCCGAAACTTATTCCTCGAATTTGAAATGAACTCAAGAATGTTGCTTTATCGCTCTCCCTTAAACTTTGGAAAAGAGAAAAAAAAACCTACCATTGAACTAAACCTATCAAAACTCGTGCAAACCATAATAATCACGTAAACCAGGAATAGGAAGTTGGAAGAGACAGTTGAAGTTGACTCGCTCTTTGACTTAGATATTAACAACACGTTTAAAGCGACCGCATTGTTCATTAGATGACCTAATATTTTTATTTTCTTTTATACTATGTATTATTGTTTTTCGATCAATTTTGCTTTTTTCTATTTATTTTTTCCTTATTTGATATGTTATGATTTATGATATATTTTCCATTAACATTCCGCTGCATGTCATTCAACTTTATTATTGCTGTACATTGAACCATCCGAATTGCGCCGTTGTGTAGCATAGAAATGTATAGATTTATGACATACTTTACAACAAATGCTTACTATGTATATACATATATACACATTAGAAAAAATTCAAGCTCGAACGAAGAAAATGAAAAAATAATTACTGGTATAATGATGATGTGATTATGAATGAATGCAATACACAAGAAGATTACGGGGAATGGAGAATTAATTGGATAAAGCAAAAAAGCAAAAAAAAAATAAAAATAAAAAAATGATTTGATAAAATTGCCCCGAGGCACATCTGCAAAGTTCTTTGCTTTTAAATGTTTAATGTCGGTTGTCTTAGGGATAATGTGACATTGTTCTTATTATGACAAAAGAACTCTTCCTTTAGAGCTTCTATCAACCCAAAAAAGAAGTGAATTAAGCGCTTTTTTTTTTTTTTGCCATTTTCGCTCAGTGTTAAATCACAAAACGTACGACACAAACAAAGCAATACTCATATCTCATGGTATATAAGGTATATATTTATTGTCTATTGACAGTGGCTTAGAGCATTGTTCTCGATTTTATTGCAATTATTTTTGCCAACATTTTTTCGACGTCTAAATTCAATTAATCGTTCTATACAAAACATACATATATACATACATATACATACATACATATACACGAATTTACTCGATATTGGATAATGAATCTGTTAGAATTCAACAAATAAAACAATGCAAGTAAAGTCGAGTGTGACAGAGAATATAATAAATCTCGTTGATAATCAACGAGATATCAGGCAGACTTACGATAATATTATACAAAGGTTTGAGCCCAAAAAAAAAAAAAAAAAAAAACGTGAAATAGTTTTTATTTAAACTCCATGATTGTTACTATGATGTTGTTTTACAGCACTAAGCCAAATAATAATAAATATATATTTATGGATGACTACGTACGTAGTCTGTATGCCTGTCTGACAGCCCCCATGTCATGGCACGATTTTCGTGTTAACAATCAAGAAATACATAAATTTAATAACAATAACAAAATCGACATGCGTTGAAGTGTTGTCAACAACGTACAGTCAGTCGTCAGTCTACAGAAAGAAATAATCCGAGAAAAAAAAAAATAAAAAGAAGAAATTTTTAAAAGTTTTGTTTTTAATTTTTTTCTTTGTTTTCAATTTTCAACAATAAACGTTAGTTTTTACTATAAATAAAACTTTATTGTTATCACGATTTTTTTTTTCTTATTCCTAATGCTTAGTTAAAATAAATATGCAAAAAAAAAAAAAAAAAAATTTAAAAACTTTTTTTTTTGTTTTTTTTTTTTTTTTTTTGTTTTTAATACATAAAAAAATGCTCTTGGGTCGTTGAGGTTCATTTCCCTGCTTTTAATAAAATTTTTCAAATTTTATTTTTATATGTCATCACTGTCTCTGTGGATATGTGTGATGATGTCGTTATAAAGCAATTATAATAACATGACAATGCCAGTTATTCAGTCATTGAGGCGGCCCAAAGCAGACGTATATATATATATATATATATATTTATATATTCATGCATTTATATATTCATGCATTGTAAGTGCTTTCAGTTTAGTTGAATTAGTTTTCGTTATAATAAATAGGCGGTTTTAACAGTTTTGGTTTTGTTTCATTTTTTTTTCCTTCTTTCTATGTGAAAGTTATGGGAGAAAGGTTTTTGTTTTTTTTGTTTTTTTTTTTTTTTTTATTGCGATTTTATGTATAGTTTGCATTTATATTCCCTTGACACAAGGCTCAAATAAAATTGCATTGCAAGGGAGTTGTCAAATATGCATGCTATCGAAAGAAAAGTAAACGACTTTACCTTTACGTTACGAAGTGAACAGCACCGTTAACTTTGGGAATAAAATGTTATGTATGTCTATCTCGATTAAGTGAAATTTCTTTTTAAAACTTTTATTAATTCTTTGTTTATTTCTTGCTGGGAACAATGAAAAGGAGGATTGTATGCGATAAATTGCCAAATATATTAGATTAACATAAACCACCTAACGGTTTGAACGGTTAAGAGAATTTCCAAAAATGTACATTCATAGGTCACGAAATAATCAAATTAGATGACTAAGTTGATTACTTTTATTTATTTATTTATTTTTTTTTTTTTTAAGATATTAATTAAAGTTGAAAAGTTGTTTTTCTTTTTATTTGATATCATAGATAAATATTTTAAGATAATTGTTTTTTTTTTTTTTTTTTTTTGTTATGAACGACTCGATGGTTAAGAACTTTCCTTTTTTCATTCGCGTCTTAATAAAGATTTGTTTAAAATTCTACTTCGCGACACTTTTAATACCCAAAATATAACTTTTTGCTTATTTGGGTGGAATTTTTTGTGTAAATATAGGTTTCTTATAACGAGGTACCCATATAGCAAGAATTCACTCTAATAGCATTTTACAAGAAGTTGGAAGATGCTCGCATAACATGGACTCACTCTAGATTTCTAGAAATTAGCCCATCTGGTGTAGCTTCACTTTTTGTCATTGTTAACCGAAGACTTACCTGCACATTAATTCATGGCTTTGCCATGATAACATTCATTGATAGAATGGCATTGAAAAATGAACAGAATGCTTATAAAAATTAAACAAAAATAGGAAATATAAACATAAATAAAAAAGAGATCTTCCGCTCAATTACAAAACACACAAGAAAAATTTATTATTAGTTATAGTGAAGTATGTGTGTATCTAGTTGGGCAGAAAGTACAATACACCACGTGGCCACCTATGGTCATCTTGTCTGTCCAAAAGCTTTTATGATTAACGTAGTGTTTTACGTAGGCGGGCGTGCTATATATAACACGTCTTGATTACATTATATTGATAACACACACATGCAATGCATTTATAAATTTCGAAAAGTCTTTTGAAACATATCAGAAACGTGAAGTGGCTTTCAAATCTTTTAACAATTATGCGGACGTTAGAAGATGAATAACTGAGTCTTTGCTTATGTGACGATAACGTGATACTTACAAGCGTATTCTGAGAACCATCACTGACAGGACTGAAGTGAAAAATGATTTTTTGGATTGTGTTTTCCATGACTTTTTAACTTTGTATTAAAGCAAGAAGTTATCAGACATTTTATATTGGATATTTAACAAAATCGGAAAGCTATAATTTCTAGCAAAGGCGCAAACCTTCACTAATGTGGACTATCGCGATAAATCATCTTCATTACGGCAAATCATTAGAGGGGACAATTTCGAAATACGATATTCTCTGAACATCAAGGCATGTGCAATTCCAAACGCGGGACAATCCGTATGTATGGATGTAGTCTTTCTGGAAACGGAATCGAAATACATCATTACTAATATAATATACAAAAAGATATGCCTAAAAGACATTCGCATGCTATAAAATGCCTCGCACTTGCCATCGATCGTAACTTGATAATTAATATAGAACGAAATCAACCGAATTGAATGCATTTTAAATGATTTTACCTTCAAAGCTCATTAAAATATGCTGATAGTTTATGACAGTGCAATGCATCTCATTGAACGAGACAAAATATGTGTATGATATGTATATGTGTGTGTGTGTGTGTGTATGTACATACTTCATATTATGAGGCTAGACAGAGATTGATTTTAATATACAGCAAAAAAAAAAAAAAAAAACAAAAAGAAAAAGAAAAATAAAAAAAAAACTGCAGATAAATAAAAATAATTATTTATATTCATATGAAATGTTGTAATAAATTAGATCAACAGGGTTGTTTTTTTTTTTTTTTTTTAAGATAAAAAAATAAAAAAAAAAAAAAGCATGAAAAAGTTCTAAAAGGCTTGAAACGAATTCTAAATACCTTTTAATCGCAATTAAGATTCGAATAACAAGAATGTTTAAGGCGTATTTAAAATTTATACTATTTGAAAAATGGTTATATAAGCTCATTCTTTAATTAATTTGAAAGCAATTCTATTATTTACACTACATGTATTTTAAAAAATGTTTCTATTAATTAATTTATTTGTATAAATTGTATATACGTGCTGTCGTGCAGGCTGTCAATACAAGCGTTTAATTAAATTATATTTTCTCGCTTGTTATTGTTTTGCTTTTTTTCTATAACAAACAAAACTACAAACTATTTCGAAAAGCCTATGTTGTTGAACATACAAACGTTTGTTTATATACATATCAACGTCGATTGAATGACAAAATGTAATTGACTGTCCCTGACATCTTTTAACAAAGAGGGAGGGAGATAGTTAGAGAGAGATAAAGAGAGAGAGAGAGAGCGTGACATGGGGAGAGAGAGAGAGAGAGAGAGAGAGAGTAGCAAAACAGAAAAACAACAAAAAAAATAAATAAATAAATAAAATGAAAATTATCACAACAATTTACAATTTTAATAATAAACACGCAATTTCATGGAGATACACATGTATTTGATTACATATAACAAAAAAGTACATTTGTATGTAAATATACATTTGTATATGTTTCCGTTTAAAAGCGTGTATATGCGCTTGAAAAAGCCTATTAGTCTATGAGAGTGTTATGAAATGGCTTGAGGTCTTTTTTTCATATTTTGATGCCTACCTACACCAGGCTGAAGGTCTATTAAATACGACGAACTATTTGAAGCTAGCCAGAAATATACAATAGAAGAAGACCTATCCCCCTGTAGCTTTTATATTTTTGATTTGCTTAAAATTTTAAATCGCCTTCATTCAATTTGAATTTGAATGCTTTAAAAGGGAGAAAACTGAAAAGTGTCGGAATTCAGAATTTAAAAGTTAAGAAATGGCAAATAACTCCGTAATAGCTTTGCAAAAGAACCATAGGTTGACATATATATATAACAAATATATATATATATCAAGTTGGCATTTGTCATAAGTAAAAAGG